AGCTCGCAAGTCGAGCGCTATTTTTTACTCCTGTGTCGACTTTCTCTCTCACTCGCTCTCTTCGCTTATACATTCTTTCTTCTTTATTTTTACCCTTTCTCTCTCGCGCGCTTGGTTCTCTAACGGCGAGAGGCTCGAAGACATTTTCATTAGGAAGATTGAGTTTTCCTCTGGATTATGTGCTGCCAGTGGTGCGCCCGCGCGAGTATTCAAGTTTCTCGCTCGCTCACCGCTGCAGTGCTTTGTTTCGACAAGAGAGAGAGAGCGAGCGAGCGAAAATTATATATGGGTTAAGGCTCGACGTGAACGAAAATTGACTCGTTGCCTCGCTCGGCAGCACTACACACTTATACACACTCACACGACGAAGGTAGTAGCAAAGAAATAAAAAAAAGAGAGAGAGAAGAGAAGAAAAAAATCCAAGAGCTCAAACGCGCTCGTACATATATAGCTATTTCCATATCGCGTATACCTCGCGCACGTTATAAAGTATATACCGATATCGGAACCCGAAAGCTCAGCGAGCAGCTAGAGTTCTTTAAGCCTCTCTTGTACTTTGTGATCGTGTGCTGCCGCTGCTGCTGCTGCTGCTGCGCGCAAAAAAGCGAAAGAATTGGCCCAGGCCTATAACTGCGCGCCTATATAGCTAGCTCTGCCTACATACATAGAGGCGCGCAAGCTCGAGCTTGCGGAGGCTTGCTGCTGCCTGGGTAGGAAAAAAAAATCTCCTGGAGACTTAATCTCTCTCTCTCTTCGGCGCGGGCGTATTTGTGTGTGCTATATATAGGCACGAGTGTCGCTTCGTACGTACAATATCTCTATCTATCTATCTATACGCGCTATAGTTCGAAGAGTATATCTCGCGCCACCACCGCCACGAGGGAATCCAAGCGTTAAAATTGAAGCTATATGGCAGCGGGGATTGATTCGATCTTGCTGTTGCTGCTGCTGCTGCTGATGCTGGCCAAGCAATATCAAACTCGAGCCACATATGCGCTTACTAGTACATACAGACGCATATAGATATTGCATATTACATAAATCTTTAATCGTACACACACACACGTATGTATCAAGAAAACAGCTTTCAATCGACTGGATAAATTCGTTTATTAGATATGTATACACGACGCGAGTTTAAATAACTTGAAAATTATTTTTCGATCCCTCGACTTATGCGATATATAACTTGATATAAATGCGTTTAAAAGCTCGAGTGAAAAGCTCGCTTCAAACAGCGCTCGAGCTTGCGCGTGGATACTCTCTCTCTATCTCTCCTTTTTCCCTCGGATATATAAATTGAAAGGATGATTGAAAGAACGAAGTGGAAATTAATTGTTTTCTTCCTCTTATTTTATTATTATTATATTAAACATCGCTCGAGGAGAGAGCTGTTCGTTGCTGTGGAGCTTTTACAATGTTAACGCGGATATACACTGAGAAAAAAAATTCATTGATTCAATGAAACGTTTAATTGAATACAATCTATGAAATAATTCATTCATCCAACAAAATATTTAATTGTTTTCATGAAACTTTGGTAAAAACAATTAAATATTTTGTTGGATGAAATAAAAAAAGATTATTTCAATGAAATTATTTCATAGATTGTATTCAATTAAACGTTTCATTGAATCAATGAATTTTTTTTCTCAGTGTACAGAGAGAGAGAGATATATACGCAGGAGCTGTTCGATTTTACGTCCTCTGGCTTAATCTCTCTCGAGTCTATCGAGTTGATTATCGCGCTCGCCTCGCCGAGGCTGCACAGTGAGGATCGATTCGTTGTTTCGCGCGCTCTTATCCAACGACGTCTTTGTCGCGACACGCGCTAATGGCGTATCGAACTTATTCTCGCAGCTGTACCTTGAACGCGTCTTGATTTGTTGTTTCTTTCTTAACGAATGATGCTGGATTATCGGCTGTTCGAAATTTACGTACTCGTCATCCACTCGTTGAATCTTTTTTCTTTGGTAGTTAAATTTTATAAACTAATATAAAGTCCTTTATATATCGGTACATCATTAAACTTATGGCGTCAATTTTTATACGTATTAATGGTAAAAGGTCTTTAAAATTAAGTACAACATTCAAATATAAATTGATTCAGAAAAAAGTTGATTTAGGGTCCCCTTTTTATATGATAATGAGACATGGGAAACAAGATACGTCGTTCGCTAAATAATTGAATAACGTCCATAAAAATATATTTTTAATTGGTTTTTCATATCATATTTTCCAAAATGGTCAATTCACTGAAAAAATATCGTCGATGAAATGAAAAAAATTCGTACTTATTGTCACTCGTCTTCAGAAGATATATATACGATTCTGAATTACATTTAATTACGCCCATAAGAAAAACACGCCGCCGTCGTGTAAGTTGAGATTGTAAACGCGAGATGGCCAGCGTACCGGTCGGATCGCGATCGCGTAAACAAAACAAACGAGATCGCTGCTTATTAATGTAATGTGTTATGCTATGTATATATTTGAAATAATTTTTATTATACACTTAAGAAACGAAATTTTCTATCCGATGAGAGTTCTTAACAAATTTACTGAAAACCCGAAGTAGCAACGATGGCATAGCCCCTTGAAATTCAACGAAAAGTCGAACGCGTGCGTTTTTATAAATAATACATTTGTACATGCGAACTTTTCAAGACTCGAGCGCCGATGGCGGCTTTTAGCGGCGATAAATATTCTTTTGATCGCAGCGAGCTTACCCCCGCGCGCGCTCGCAACGCGACAGAGAATAAAGAAAGAGAGCAAAAAAAAGGCGAAGCCAGTCTCTCGACAGCCGATAAATATGCCAATTGCGCTTTATATACCCGCCCCAAAGAAGAATAAGAGAATATATAAAATCAATCCGATCGATAATACACATATAAATAATAGTGCGCGCGAGCAAATAATAAATCTCGAGTCCAAGTCCGAGTAACGCCGATCGCGTCAAAGCTGTTTACGTCGTATATGGAGGCGGCGACTCACTCGAAAATAATCTTATCGAGCTCGCGAGCGAAGGGAGGATTGCATACGTACGATGTGTGTGTGCGTATACGGACGATGGGATTTACGAGGCATTAAACGCAAACGTAAACAGTTTATATATCCGGCATATATACACACACGTATGTGTAGTACTGCGATATACCATGTGCAGTCGTGTACTCGTCGTTATTATGCAAATTTCGGCCCTCTCCGACGCATCATCCCCCGCGCGTCGTGTCTATCTCGCGGGAAGTGGACGTTCGTACTATGGTATATGTAGAGCAAATTGAGCTACGCACAGGCACACGCACACAACTTGTAAACATATTTGCCTCGCCGCGTCGTGTATAATGTAGCTCGCCGTTGCTATATATACGCGTGCGCAAATTTGTAAATTGGTATACTTTGGCCTGACGACGACGACGACGACGACGACGATTCGCGCAAAACGTGTCTGCCTGCACGACGCCGTTGATGTATTACATAGAGCCGAGATCGAATCGATTTGTGCGGACGAGAAAATAGCTCAATGTTATGGTAGATATGTGTGTTGTTACGTATGACAAACAGTATATTATGCGGTATAATGTGGTATGGGGTAATTTTTTTTCTTTCCGTTGAATAAATCGACCGTGCGCCACGCGCGTGCGGGTGCATTCGAACAATTGTATCATTTGTATTTGCATTCATCATCGTTACATATTGGCGGAGAAGGGGAAAAAATTTTTGTTCACTTTTTCATTTACCTCGATTGGCAGCCAAGCAAAAACGATACAAATCTTCGTTAATCAGCAGCTCGATGATCTTTAGAGAATCGGCAGTCAGTGATAGCGCGTCAGCTCCCAAGAAAAAATCCAACGCACAGGCGCAGTTCGCAAGCCTCCCGATGCCTTTCGGGATATAGCTTCCATATAATTCGCGCGAACTCGTACGAGTCCTTACCCGCGAAAAAAAAATAAAGATCTTTTTAAGATCTTTTTAAGAACGTCTCAATTATGAGCCTCAGTGAGATGCTTTGAGATGTTTTTAAGACGCTCAACAATTGATTTTTACTGAGACGTTTCCGAGATCTTATTAAGATGTTTTTTTCTCGCCGAAAAAGATAATTTCCAGTTTTTTTGTCAAGTTTAAGTCTTTTTCGACGAGAAAAAAACATCTTTATAAGATCTCGGAAACGTCTCAGTAAAAATCAATTGTTGAGCGTCTTAAAAACATCTCAAAGCATCTCACTGAGGCTCATAATTGAGACGTTCTTAAAAAGATCTTAAAAAGATCTTTTTTATTTTTTCGCGGGTATCCGAGAGTAATTTTCTCGCCTTTTCGGGTTGCAACGGGATCAAGTCGTACAGCGAAAGGCTCGGATTAACCATTTAATCTCTTTCGATTTGCTCACAAATTCTTCGTCGTCGTACCAACGTTGTTCGGAATCCGGAGATTCTTCGAACAGTCCGTGTGTTTATCGAAAAATTTCATGATCGTCGTGGCGTCGTTACGGTCCAGTTGGTATCCCATTTTCTCGAGACGCTCGACGGTAATCAGAGCGCCGGACGTTAATTTGGATTTTTAATTACACCTGTAGCCACTTCAATCGCGTCTCAAGCTCCAGGCTTGCCCTTCGCATCGGCCAGCACCGATTCGGGTCGCGACTATTCTCGGCAGCAATTCGACGACTACTTCTTTGCTCTGACAATTCTCGCGTTTCATGTGCAGCGTCGAATAGCTCACGCGACGACGCACTTGGGATCTTGACCGTGCTCGAGAAAGTTTTCGACGGCCTACTCTGAGCCGTACTCGCCGCTCACGTGAAAGTGACGATCAATTATTTTAAAACATAATATTTGGTATTGTATTAACTTACACTCAATACGAGAGAACAAGAAAAAAGAAGAGTGAAATGAATGTTGAATGAGTGATTGTTTAAATCTTAAATTCGTTGAATAGCAATTCGTCTAGCAGTGTTTGTCAATAATATAAAGGAGGAAATTCATATTTTAAATTTATTTATTAGATTCATATTAAAAATATACAATTATTAAATAACATCAGACATAAAAAAACTGCATATTCACTTAAATATATCGCTATAGCTATGCTTATCGTTTGTAACTTAGGGAATATAGGAAAAGTTGATAATATAAATAAATGATAAATGCTAGGAGAGTGGCTGCTAATTTGCCGAATGGAAGACATAAAGAACTCGGGCATTGGTTTCGAAATATCGCGGAGAACTAAACTGCGGGACCAAGACTGACGTGGCTCATCGATATAACTCCACCCGAGTCAGCCACAAAAAGGAAACAAGTTTCGAGGCGCGAATTCGGCATAATGCATGCAATTTCTCGTGTCACGACTAAAGTTTCTATAGTCGTCGGTCGCGATCAACTGTTAAAGCTAATGAGAATAGAATAATTTAAAAAATGTCTACTTTGTCGAGTCTCTCTTTTCTTTCAATCCATAGGCCATATTCATATTTTTTAACATTATTTTCAACGTTATTTAATTACATGGATAAAATTTATATGAAATTGAAAAAGATATAACGTTCCATAACTAAAAGCAGTGTTATTATTTTTTTCAAATTTTCCAATGGATCAGATATTTTTATAATATATTATTACATATAACCTTATTAACTAAAAGATGTCATTCTTCGCGACAAGTGATTCTATCGCTTAAATCCCTATCACTATCGCTACTATTACTATTGCCGTATTCGACGGTTTCATCCGCGGCTGCCAAGCAGATTGTGCGAAGATCCCAGTTCTGCATATTCGAATTGTCGATGACCATTTCGCAGCACTCGAGCGGCAGACGGTAATGTATCAGCTTTATGAAAGATACCACGGCCCAGTTGCGGAAAAATCTTCTCGACAACTTCTCAAACACATGAATGACGCAGGCCCTAGGAAGTCTTACGTCGTCCCACTGGACAGTGCAAACGAACTTGATGAACTCCTTCAGCGTTACCAGCTTCGTCACCTCTCTAGGTTCCGACTGGATCAGTTCGTAGAGCGTCAAGCCCGGCTTTACTATTAGCTCGATCGCTTTGTTCGCGAAGTGCTGGTCGTTGCGCCAGAAATTATCGAGCGCCTCCGTCCACTCGACGTGCGCCTCCGTCGACTCGACGAGCAGCCCGAGCCGGGTGAACAATTCCAAGACCTGCAGGGCTTCGCTTAGGTCCATGTCGTATCCTCTCTTCTCGAGAATTTCGTCCACAGCGTCGACCTCCACTTGCAGATGTCTCTCGTTGCAGACCCCGAAGAACATCTCCGTCACGTCTTCGTCTTGGAAAAGTCTCGCCTTGGAAACGATATGCAGCGGAGTCACTCCTTTGTCGTTGGCCAATGTCGGATCGGCGCCTCGTCTCAGCAACAATGCGGCCAGTTTCTCATGACCACACAACAGAGCCCAGTGCAGCGGTGTATTGCCCAATTCATCTCGGGCGTCGATCTGTATTCTCTGCTGCCTTTCGTCGAGAATTTCGAAGAAAAACTTGGCCGATTCATCGTCCCAGCTTGTCTTGCAAGTGATATGCAGCGGAGTCTCTCGTTTGTTGTTGGCCAAATTCGGATCGGCTCCGTTTCTCAGCAGTAATTCTGCAGCTTCTTCCTGGTCGTTTTCCAGTGCCAAGTGCAGCGCCGTGTTACCCTTTTGGTCGCGGATGTCGAGCTCAATCCGCTGATGGTTCAATAGCGTCCGCACGAGATCGATATTTTCCCCGTTGCAGGCGATGTGCAGAGCTGTGCGCCCCTCTTTGTAATCCATATCGTTCGGATCGACACCTCTCGCCAGCAGCAATTCGCACATTGCCACATTGTGGCCGACGGTCGCCAAGTTGTGCAACGGAGTGTATCCCCAAAAGTCATACGAGTCGAGCTCCACCTGCTCACGTCTCTCGTCGCACATCCTGAATAACATTTGCGCAATTTCGTCGTCTTGCGCAATTTCGTCGTCTTTCGTTGCCTGGCAAACCATGTGCCAAATTGTCTCTCCGGCTTCGTTGACCAAAGTCAAGTCGGGGCCTTTACGCAGTAGAAGTTCGGCCATTCTCTTGCCGGTGCTATGGTACAGAGCCACGTGCAACGGTGTATTGCCAAAATTGTCCTGGGCGTCCAGCAGCACGGCCTGATTATTTTCTTCCGCGATCTTGAAAAATAGCTCAGCCAAGTGGACGTTGTTGCGGTGACAAAGCACGTGCAGCGGAGTCTCTCCTTTGGCGTTGGCCAGATTCGGATTGGCGCCACGTCTCAGCAGAAGCTCGAATAATTCGCCGTTGCCGTGGCCCGCGGCCAAATGCAACGGTGTCCGGCCCACCTTGTCTCGGGCGTCGATATCGATCGTTCGACGATTAGCTTCGTTGGCAACGAAAAATAATGTCTCCGCCAAATTATCGTCGTTGCGGACATCTGGTTTCACGCAGAGAGCGTGCAGAGGAGTCCAGCCCTGGGAGTTGACTAAAGTGGGATCCGCGCCTCGTCTCAGCAACAGTCGTACCACGTCCACTTGGCCGTACGTCAGCGACAGATGCAACGGCGTGTCGCCCGTTTTTTCCACGAGGCAATCGGAATTGACCTGGCCGAGCTCGAAAAATTTCTCGACGACGTCGACCACGCCGAACTGGCAGGCGACGTGGAAGTGCGTCGATCCATCCTCTTCGGAGATGTAATTCACGTCGAATCTGTCGTAAATTTCAAACAGACGCTCGACGACGTCGTGGCCACACGCGGGACTCGCGAGATGCAGCGCGGTGGTGCGACGCAACAGTGGCTCGCCGTCCTCGTTCAACAGGGGCTCGTCCTTGTAGCCGGACCTGAGCACGAACTCGACGCAGGGCCTCGGATCGATCCCTATCTCGGCGAACCTCACAATCTGCTTGAGAAGCCAGTCGATCTCTTCGCGGCAAAACATCTTTCGCAAATCCGGATACTGACCCTCCCAGTTTACCAGACGCTGCTGGACGGATTCGAGGTTGACTTTGTGTTCGCTCTTCATCTCTCGAACGACCGCATTGCGCACCAACTCCAGTTTGCACAGGTTCACCAGTATCTTGCCGTGATGCTGCAATTCCATTATTTTGACCATGGTTATGTTGTCCGATACTTCGAAATTCGAGATCATCTGCGTGCGTCTAGCGATTTCGAACAGAAAGTCGTAACGGCCATCGGCACCGCCGTACACGTCAGTTTCGTCGTCGGACATGTTTTTTTCTCGCACTATTCACACACCACGCACAGTCGTCTGATATTATTTCCACAAGAATCACTTGCCGCAGTCAATGTACTATAGTTGAGGCAGTTACGATATCGCTCGTTGTTGTTTACCGTTGCTCAGCGTCGTAAGTCGACCAACTAACGAACGCACAGTGGCACACTGCCGTCAGCAGCGCGAGCCAAACAAACGAACGAGCGAAGGGGGAGCCTGACTATTTGTGATCAATTACTCTGAAAACACGTTCGTATTTTTATTATTTAACGTGCAACATACGGATGTGCAACAATTTTTATTTTTATTTCAACTTCTTTATGTCACTTAAAAGGAAGGAGAAGGGGTGAAATGAAATATAAAACACACAAAAAATTTAAATCTATATTTTTTATTTTATTTCTTTATTTATATCAATTGTTGGTCTGAGCTTTGGCCCGAAAAGAACCTTCCCAAAATTTCACCATTGAATTTGTAGCCTCTGCGGTGCCTTCCTAGTCCTCACCGGTCTATTGCTGTCAAGATGAATTAAACTTGCTTCGCTGTCCTTGCGGCTTGGTCTCGCAGCCGCCAAACACATATAACACAAATCTTGATTCGTCAGTTCCTCGATGATCATGTCGCAGCAGAGAATCGGCAGCCGATAACGCGTCAGCTCCAAGAACGAATCCAACGCCCAACGCAGGAAAAATTCTCTCGACACGAGCATCTGGCAGAGATACAGAGCGCAAGCCTCGACATGCCTCCAGGAGTACATCCATGTTTCGTTATGGTGCGTGAAATCGTAGTAGTCTTTCAACGTGAGTAATTTTCTCGCCTCTTCGGGCTGCGACAGGATCGAGTCGTGGAACGACAAGCCCCGTTTTATCCACATCCTCTTCATGACGTTCGCGAACTCGTCTTCGTACCAACATAGTTCGAGTTCCGGATATTTCTCGAACAGTTTGCGTTCATCGAGAAATTTCATGATCGTCGTGGCGTCGCTACGGATAAGTCGGTATCCCCTTTTCTCGAGACTTTCGACGATAAAAAACGCCCTCGATGCTACACGCAACAAGTCGAAACATGGCATAAAAGGATCCATCCATGATTTGAATTTCTGGCCAAAGTAATCGGCAGAGGGAAAAACGAAACGAGACATGTCTGCGCCGCGAGCAAAAAGTAAATCGACCGTATCCGTCAAGACACTCGCCACTGCCCATTGCAGTGGTGTCCTGCCCAGCTTGTCCCGAGCATCGACCCGCACGACTCGACGTTGCTCGTCGCACAACTTGAAGAATATCTTCGCCGAGTAGTCACCGCTGTCGATTTGCTGACAAATGACGTGCAGCGGAGTCTCCCCTTTCTCGTTGGTCAGAGTCGGATCGGCGCCGCGTCTCAGCAGCGATTCCAGTACTTCTTGGCAGTTGTAGCCATGTGGGCGCAGAGCCAAGTGCAGGTTAGTGTCACCGTCGTTATTGGCCAGATTCAGACCGGCGCCATTTCTCAGCAGAAATTTTGCCAGGCGTTCGTGACTTCGTAACAGAGCCCGGTGTAGTGGTGTATTACCCATGTTGTCCCGGGCGTCGATCAGTACCGGCCGATATCTTTCGTGGCTGAGCTCGAACAACATCTTCGCTAAATCATACTCATCATCATAATGTGCAGAGCTCACGATGTGCAGAGGAGTCTCTCCTTCCGAATTGGCCGAGTTTGGATTCGCGCCTCGTCCCAGCAACAATCGCGTCACTTTTTTATGGCATCTCACCGACAAGTGCAACGGCGAGTCACCCGTCTTTTCCACGAGGCAATTCGGATCCACCTGGCCGAGCTCGAGGAATTTCACGACGACGTCTTCCAAGCCATACTCGCAGGCCACGTGAAAATGCGTCAATCCATCCTCGTCGATGTGGTTCACATCGAACCTGTCGTATATTTTAAAAAGATGAGGGACAAGATCCTTGGCGCGATGCTTCCAATACTTTTGAGACGCGAGATGCACCGGTGTGCGACGACGCAATAGCGGCTGGCCGCCGTCTTCGTCTTTGTAGCCGGATTTGACGACGAATTCGAGCACAGAACTGGCGAGTTCGTATTCCTTTTCGGAATTCACGCACTGCACGAGGAGCCAATCGATTTCTTCGCGGCGTAACAATTTTTTAAGATTTGGATATTGGCCTTTCCATCCCTTGACCGTGGAACCGAGTTGACGGATAAGATCGCCTCGATTTTGCTCGAACTCTCCAACGATCGTTGCACGTATTTTTTTCAATTTGAGCAAGTACAGGGTTATGTTCGAATGATAGACAAATTTAGATATGTCAATCGAATTTTGTGCACTTTCTGACATTTCACGGTGGTACTTGAGTTCGGAATCCAAGTCGTACCAGCCCCCGGCACCGCCGTACACGTCGACTTTGTTGTCGGACATGGTTTTAATAGCGCACTATATCAACACGAAAATAATTACTTGACACAGTCGAGACGATCACTTTCTTGGTTGTTAACGCTGCAGCTTGTCGCACAGTATTTACCGAAACAAACGACGAACTCGCACGGACACGCACCGCACGCAGTTCGAGCGAGAGAGCGATACGATCACGCAGTAATAGCCGTTACGAAAGGCATCAATCGCAGCAGCAGAAACTTGAACCTCGGTCGAGGCGCCGACCAATCGTAGCGCGGAGTCTATCAGACCCGCAATTACCCTTCTTCGTTGTTCGTCACGCGCAGGCAAATCTGTAAAGTGACCGCAGTGTCTGTGACGACTGCGAATCGTACGATCATTATTGCGCGCTCGCTTGTTTTTCACGGGTTGACGGGTTGATTAAAAAGTTTCGCGTCGAGAGAACGCGGATTAATCAAAATAAATAGTGGTAAAGCAGAGGCAAAGTTTAAGCAAAAGTGCGTAGAATATATTTACAGTGAACGCAGTTGCCCGAAAGAAAGAGAAAGATTCGCACGCGCGCTAATATAAAGTTTGCCATATTGTGTGCAGCTGCCTACTATACTGGCCTCATGTATATCTACTCATATGCCTTCACCGGCTGCGCGTACACGAGCTCCAGTCCTGAGTGGGTGAATATAAATTTAATTTTCTTTTCTTCTCTCTCGTTTTCTTACCGTCTCGTACTACGCGGACCACTCGCAGCAGCTACCTATAGATATAAAACACGCGCTACGAGAGCGAGATTTCGCGATGCGCAGAATTTGCATGTATCATTCATACGACGACGACGAGCAACCCGTATGCATTAAAAGAGAGAACGAGATGATAAAGAAAAAAAAACTCGTTCGCGGCCATTCGTTACCCAAGTTTTTCCTCTTTCTCTCTCTCTCTCTCTCGCGTGCTTTTTTACTCACTCAATTGTAGTAACGGGTCGGAATGTAGAGAGAGAGAAAGGGAGAACTTTGTGATGTCGCTGCGTGTGTGCAGTGCGCTCTAGGCTCACTATGTTTCTATATGCACGCGAAATTTTCACCGTATATTAATAACGAAAGAGAGCACCGAGTCATTTTCACATTATAAGCTTCGTCAAGAGACGAAGACGACGAAAATCAGATGGCAATGGCTATTACGACTTTTCATGTGTGCTTTATAATATAGGTATGATATAAACTACTCGAGCCGCAGACGCGTCGAGCTTTTCTCGGCGTATTACATGTACCGTGCGACGATGTGTGCCCAAGACGTGTAAAATACTTATAATCATAGAATCGCGCCGCACGGCTTTGTACAAATTATACGTTATATATAGGCGAGAGATTGTTTATTACGATAAAAGCACATCGCCGACGAAATCGTGCAAAATTCACAGGATATTATCGCGTCGCAAAGTCACGTACTTTACTGTTGATCTTTAGGTGAGGGGTGGGATAGAAGAATACGCTCCTTTCTTACAAAAAAATTAATGGCCTTCGTTGTCTTCGTATTTTTTGCCCGCTGGTCGAAATTTAGGCGTGATGGCGTGCGATACATCGAGCCATGTATATAGTTTTTAAATACGTAATGGCCTTTGAGTCGCATGCAGTGCGAATGGTGGCTATGTGCTGCGAATCAGTCGTTAGTAAAATTTGTTTTGATTTTTGAAACTGAAAGAACGTACTAAATGTTTAATTAAAAGTACAAGTACAACAATTAAATTGGATTTCAGCGGGAAAATAACTCTTTGGGTGATAGTTTGTTTGGATGTATGCGGCTCGTAATGCATGTTGTATGCGAATTTATTTATGCTGGACAGGGATGAAACTTACGAGACGTAGCTGGACATCGAATAAGCTGAATTTTCAATTATTGCAGAGTTTTTTTATTGACGATTGCAGTTGTCGATTAATGGGAATCGGTTGAGGGGGTTGTCGAGTGATGTTTCAGTACCGATAGACAGTAGATACTTGAGAAATATTTTTTATATCTTAGTTCCTGCGAGGAAGGCGATGAAAAGAATGGTACAAAACCACGACAAAATTAATAAATGATTGAAATGCTTAATTTATTTATTTTTGATGTTTTACAAAAATTAGGAAATAATTATGAGAAGGATTTTTTGAAATTTCGTACTTTATACTGTTTTTAGACGAGATTATAATGCTCAAGTGTCTCCAAACGTGGCATAAATCTTAGAGTTTTGTCTTACTTAGTACTTATCTGATTATGTATTGCATTCATGTGATATTTGAGGCTACTTTTGATTCCGAATGATTTATGACATGTCTTGCATTCGAAGATTTTTCTACGATCATGTAATATGTTGATGTGACGATTGAGACTTCGTTTTGATCCAAATGATTTGTGGCAAATTTCACATTCAAAGGATTTGTTCCAATCATGTACTGTATTTACGTGAGTTTTGAGGCCACATTTAAGTCCAAATGATTTTTGACAAATTTCACATTCAAAGGGTTTGATCCGATCATGTACTGTATTTACGTGAGTTTTGAGGCCAGTTTTAAGTCCAAATGATTTGCGACAAATTTCACATTCAAAGGGTTTATTCCTAATATGTACTAGGTTTACGTGAGTTTTGAGGGTACCTTTTTCCGCAAATGATTTATGACAAATTTCACATTCGAAGGATTTGTTCCGATTATGCACCGTCATTATGTGTCTTTTGAGGTATCCTTTTTTTCCAAATGATTTATGACAAATGTCACATTCAATGGTT